TATTTGTCCGTATGGCAGGTGTTTGTTGACATTAACCATTTGTATAGAGCTCTATATAATATATCAGTGACAGCTGCGGATAACAGATTTTGGAAAAGGGGAGGGCTAAAAAAATGTCCTGTCCCCAATACCTATGGTTTGGTCTGTGTTTTAGATACATTTGTTTACTATAAGGATAGTGAATTATATTTGGTGAATGGCATATTTGTAATGTTTATTTGTCCGTTTGGCAGGTGTCAGTTGACATAAACATTTGTTCATTAATCATTTCTTTTTTAATATATAGTTTGGAGAGTTTCTCAGATACTATAAGTGATATTAAAGTCATGTATACATCTTCAAGTGTTGCATTGAATGATCGCATGGTGTACATGACTGTCTGTCTGGTCGGCGTCATCTTTCCTTGACCTTATTCATTTGTCACAGTTCTTTTTTCTTTATGGTGCTTGCTTCCGAGATACTTTTAAAAAGACGTTTACTTCATTCGGTGTATGGCATTAATTTTGTGCGGCCTCCATGTCTGTCTGAAAATATTATCTAACCTTGACTTCATGTAAATTGATAATTGAAATGTTAATTTGTTGAAATGCTTGAAGTAAAATCTCTCTGTTTTGATTTCAAATAAATTCAATAATAAACACTAAAACATGCAAAACATTTAGTGTGTCCAGTCTTGTTATAATAATTGTTACATTCAATATATAGGTTCCTTATAACGTTATTCCTATAGCAATAATCAATACACAAGTATTTAATCTAGAGTTGTCTCATTGGCACTCATACCACATCTCTTATTTACACAGGTACATTGGGTCAAGATGATGTATTCTGCTCTCCCCTTTTAATTTTGTCGAGGCAATATTTTTTCAAAATTCTAATTGCAAGTTATTTTTCGTATAAATAACGCTTAGCTATCTATTCCCTTGCCATCTAAAGTTATAATTGACTTATTTGTGTCGTTTTACTATCCAGCTATTTTTTTTTTTTGGCTTTTATGTCAGTAAACTATATAAAAGTCGAAAATATAGCTGGAGGGGAGGGCATGATACATCATCATGACCCCATCTCAATGTGCTTATGTTTAGTAACAATTTAATTAAATCTAAAAAATCTTATTTATATGTCGAATTTGTTCTAATGTTTTTCAAAAGCAACATAAAAAACAACATTATTTTAAAACAGGTCACGGTACTTTTGCTTTGTACATTAGTTACGTCAATAAAGGGATTATATGCAAAGAATAACAAAACAAAATAAAAAAAATTAGTCGGGTGTCCCATAGAAGAACGACAATACTCGTTCTGTTCAGACATTCTAAATAAAGAATGCAGTAATTGTGTATTAACTAACAAATGTTCTACTTTTTTCATTCTTGAAATGCATAATAAAAACTAATAAAAAATTACTACCAAGAACAAATATCGAATTTTTGATTGTACTACCGGGACAAAAAAAAAGCGAATTGATCAATTAATGTTTTTAAAAAATGTGTGGACTTTAACGGTGTTTTTTGTGGACTTTAGCGGAACTTGTTATTGTGGACTTTTACGGTGTTTTTTGTGGACTTTAGCGGAGGTCGTTTTGTGGACTTTAGCGGAAAGTTTGTGGACTTTAGCGGCGTTATGGACTTTAGCGGAAATTTGTTGTGGACTTTAGCTGTGTTGTGGACTTTGGATGAATTGTGGACTTTAACGGTACCACAATCATCCAAAATGTCCAATGTATTGTAAATACACCGCTGTCATACATTTTTGTGACACAAAAGAAGCTTAGCGGACGGAGAATTTATTAAAATATAGTGGTTTTGGTTTCATTTTTCTCCCCGTTTTATAGATTTGTTTTTGTAAATGCTAATGCATCGTTATCAATAAAACTATACGTGTTATTCGATCACGACGATAAAGAGTGATGATTTTGGTCTGAAACTACAATGCAAGGGACGCACCTCGATATGCGCATACGTTACAGAGAATAACACAAGGGAAATCAAGTTCAGATATTTTTAATGAAAAATTTGATGAAGACTTTATTTAAATAAATACTTTGATACAGTTTCTGGCTGACATACATTTGTTCAAATGATAAAAAGAATACTCATGGTTGTTGTGATAATTCGTAATGTATTTTTTTATTTGAGGAAATGATTGTGTTCGGCTTTTGTATAATTTTGAAATATCAACAAAATGGTAATGTGTTTTTCATGAAAACGATTTCCCCCGCGAAAATATCAGGAATTGTCTCGAGTCCTTTGTTTGCAGGTTACACTTGTGTAAAATAGACATTGTAATTTCCAATATAAACTCCTTTGTATGTGGTTTCAATAAAAATGAAACTATAGGATTGTGCGTCATTTTTATTCATTCAAATGCCCAAATTTCCCTACAATTTAAGCTTATTCTAAAAGTTAAACTACCCGTTCCTTTTCTTTGGGTCTTCATGAAAATTTATTTTCAAAGGTGTTTGGCTGTATTTGTACTGATAAAGTTTCAAAGTTCTGTCTCTATCAGAACCCACTTGGGAATCATATTTGCACATGAATATTCAATAAATGCCAAGAGAAATTTTAAACAAACGCAAACGTTGATGAGGTTTATGACTTTGGGAAGGCATTTTAATATCTGTTCCGGAAAAAAGAGATTTCGTTGAGAGCTGAATTGTTTCCCGTATAAGCTTATTTATTATTGCATAACATTTTAAGAGCCAGGAACTCCAATTCTGTATGTTTATTGATCACATGCATGTTGCAATTGTAATATTGCAAGTTAACTAAGCTTCCATATATTTAACTCCAAAGACATCTGGCCATTTTCATAACTGCAAGAGGTAAATCACCATCCTCTTCATGTTCAACAAAGTTGAAATCATGTAAAATTATAGAATTTTTAAATTCAAATCTAATTGTTAAAACATTTTGTGATATCTGATTCATCAAGTTCCAAATGTTTTAACAAAAGTTAAGCAGTTGAGACAACCTCGGTTGTTTTTTGGGGGTTTGTGCCGCTCAGTCTCTTCAGATTCCTATGTGTGTTTTTGTACTATTGTTTGTCTTTTGGTCATTTTTCATGGCAAAATCAGTTTGTTTTGGACTTTTGAATATCCTTTTGGTATCTTTTACCTGTCTGTTTAATTCCAACATTTCTCCGCCAAAATGAATCATTACTAGTATTATTATACAAAAAAAACATCTGAGTTTCCTTGATGTTGAAATGAACAATTCAATTTTTTTTCTCCTTTTAAACTAGCACCAACTTTTATGTGCAAAAGTGACGTAGTCCTCAGAACGTTTCCCAACGGAACAATCCCCCCTTGTTGTGAATTGTTTTTCTAGAAGTTTCCTTATAAAAAAGTCCTGTCTCGTCCATGTTATAAAATAAATTACAAAAAAAATAGGCAACTTCAGCTTTTATTAACACTTTGACACACGTGACCGTTTCACCCGACATCTTCAAAACAGTATTGTTTCGCGTGAGAAGAGACACCCACGACCATTTAAAAGGTTTAATATCTTATTTATGTAATATCATTAGATAATGGTAATGTTAAAAATACTTTCTTTAAATGAAGAAAGGTGTTTAGGTATTGGCAAAATGACAGACTAGGGTATTATCTCTTCCTATATTTGTTTCAAATCATGCAATTGGCAATAAACACACATAATTCCAATATTTAATTTCTCAAACATAAAAACAAGCTGGATGATATTCTTCTTTTTTTCTTTCTATTGTTGTGTAGTAGACTTTTCTACTTAAATATTATTAAGTTCCCCAAGGATTCTAGTAGAGTCAAATAATATATATCAAAAAGAAGATGCGGTTGCTGTTATCCATTTACTTACTTCATATGAAAAATTCTACTAATAGGCTTTCCACCGAGTGCTGATATAAACCTTTATCGGTGTTCCCACTGTCTGTATCACTCTGCTCACCTTTTCATAAAATTGCATATCACGTCTTTTTGATGTTAAATACGTTAACCCGTCCTTAATTACTTTGACCCGGACATATTACCGACGTCATAATGAATGAACCGACGTCGACAAATTTGATCCGAACTTATCAAGTCATCTTCCGGTTTACTTAAAAACAAAGAAAAACACGTGTTTCTATCATGAAACTAAAATGTACACAAAAACAATACGATAAATTGATTATTAGATTTTCATCATATTTATATTGTAAAATATCAGCTGCTTGACACAATTTGAAGACTTTATGAACTCGTTCGCTGCGCTTACTCGACAACAAGCTTCATATTGCGAATCGCAGCTGATATTTTACAATAGCAATATGCAGATAACCTGATAATCGGTACATCTTCTATCGCAAATATAATATCGCTGTTCTTACTGTGACTAAACAAAATGTTAGTTCACGGAAAAGATTTAAAATAAGGTATTCCTAAAAGTAATTGACATTCATCGATAAATGAATACACAAGAGGACCTTATACAGAAACATTTAACGGATATCATGTAAATTTTTTTTTTCTGTATTTATGTAAATGTCGTTATCCTTTCTGTCACGTTTATATATCATTCTCTGTAAATACCGAAGCATCGTCGATAATAAGAAAAATGATGCAGGTTTATCATGGCAATGAAAACTAAAACTTTTGTGATTTGGATATGAAAAAACTCCTTTATTTGTCTATATTTTATAGAACACACAAGGGAAATGAAATTTAGAAACATGAAATGATGAAGTTGATGCAATCAAAATGTTAATAAATGGATAAACACCGCAAGACAAACAATTTCATAGTAATCAAACATCATACAGTTAAGTGATGAAAAGTGTCCGTTCGGTATTGTACTACTCAGAACTATTAAAAAAATGTTTGCTATAACATGGTTTGTTATTTTGGTAGCTGTTATTTATTGTAATGGGAACTACGAAAGAAAGCGATTGCTAAGACAGAATTTGTCTGAACATTACAACCCTGAATTGATTCCGATTCTGGACTCTCATCACCCATTACAGGTAAATGTCAAACTTTACGTAATGGCGCTACAAGGACTTGAAGATAAATCACAAGTTCTGACAGCGTCAGTTTTCTGGTACTTTACATGGAAAGATGAAATATTCAGATGGGATCATTACATGGAATATAAGAACATATCAAGACTGACAGTTAAAGTCAGTGATGTATGGGTTCCCGAAATATATATTGTAAATGATGTAAGGGACATGCCTATTAGAAGTACTGGAGATAATAAAGAGTATGTGATTGTCAGATCAAACGGTTACATGACATGGTTTCCAGCAAAAGAATTGCAAACTTCATGTGCAGTTGATGTTTCAAAATATCCATTTGATACACAGGCATGTACCATCATAATGGAGGCCTGGTACCATGACAACACAAGCTTTTTTCTTAACACAATGGGATCTGGAATAGAAATATCGGAAGTTCACTTTGTTGAAAATGGAGAATGGGACATTCTTAATTTATCAGCATATCCATTCCAGTACCAGGATTATGCGGATAATTCGTCTGCTTATTCATGTATGCATTATACTTTAATTTTGAAAAGACGATCTTCTTACCATTTAATTACAATAGCGTTTCCATTTGTAATTCTAATGGCAATTAATTTATTGGTTATCGTCATTCCAACAGAATGCGGCGAAAAACTGGGATTCTGTATGTCACATTTTTTGACAATGATTGTGTTTCTAAACTTGATAGCTCAAAGCATGCCTTCCTCGTCATTTACGATTTCGTACCTAAAATATCTCATCAGTTTGCAGATTTTAGTAAGCGGAATAACAATTTTAATAGTTGCAATAAGTATTTATTTACAAACCCGAAACATAGAAGATAGACCTTCCTGTTTAGTTAGAATCATTTTTAGTCCGATGAGATATTTCCGGCAGAACGATCGTAAGAAGCTTTGCATACGAGCTCGGGATTCTAGACATGAAGGCTTTATCACATGGCTTGACATTGACAGAAAAATTAACCGTGGTTTGAATATTTTACTTTTACTAAATGTGATCGCTACTGTTTCCTTATTTGTATTTGTGATTATTTAGCATCAAAATGGAGATATGACAACTCGTACGTTCGTTCTATATATGTCATTTCAACACTTATCAATAAAAAGTAAGCAGATCATTTGTAAAAACATTTTACTATATAATTGATTTGCATTGTTTATTTAACTTATCTTCATAGTAGAAATTGATAAATAAACTTATTTAACGAATGTTGTCCTACTAGTCTACAGTCGGAGCATTTCTTGAAGATTTTTTAAGATCAATAGCCAGGCCTTTTATACTTATGATTTTCCTTGAATAAAAAGATTGATGTTTCATTCTTTTCTTATATTTGATTTGACTATATCAGAGGAGTTCATATATTTATGGGAAATGAGTACTTGAGTCTCTTTAGCTAGCCTTGTAGAGCAGTTTATTGTTATGAAAGTATTTATATGAATAAGAAGATTTGGTATGAGTGCCAATCAGACAACTATCCATCCAAGTCGCAGTGTGTAAAAAGTAAACAATTATAGGTCAAAGTACGGCCTTCAACACGGAGCCTTTTCTCACATCGAAAGCAGGCTATAAAGGGCCCTACAATGACTAGTGTAAAACAATTCAAACAGGAATACCAACGTTCTAATCTATATAAAATACGAGAAACGAGATACACATATGAACAACACCAACAAACGACAACCACTGAATAATACACATTATTGAAAATATTTAAAAATTTAAAATAAAATACATCCTGTTAAAGCCAAATTTTATCTTTCTAGTTTTATTGACACATTCCAGAATAAATGAGAATGTGTCTTTCTAATTGAAATTATCAATATAGGGATATAAAATAATAAGAAACTTTTCATTCAATGAATAGTATTTGTACGAATAACAAACATTCTCTTTGGTAAAAGATGATGATCATTTGTACAAAATCAAGAACCTACGTAGATTATTATCTGTAGCACGGACAGTAAACTCTTTGCAAGAAGTACGAAACATTTTGAATTATAAACAAATTCAAGGTTGTAACCATATTCATGAAACTGTAAATAACCTTAATACTTTGAACACTAATTATAAATTCACTTTTATTATAAATATCGAAAGTTCAAAAGAAATTTTATTCAATTTTAGAAAAAAATGATCTTGATGCTCTGTAAATATAATTAAATACAATTTGCGTAATATGAAGCAGTAGTTATTTTGGCGACAAAATTCCATAGTTGGCAGAGGAAAGCTGAATTTTGGCTTGGGAGAGAGAATGTCATGTATCGATGGGACCTATATAAGCAAAATAAATCTTTGTCCACATTCTCGTTTTTACCAGGAAATTGAGTTGTTATCTTAATTCCATTTAAAAGGGTCTTTAGACAAGATTCCAACCTTGCACTAGCCAAAAGTATACCCTGAGTAGCATTCAAAGGTATGCATCGTCGACAGTGGTAATGTGAATGTGCAGTTATTAAAAGAGTGTTGCTATTGAGGGCACTAAGTACCGTCTAAATAATGTTAGGTAGTAGGAATTTTAGTTAAAATGATTTTTTTTTATTTGCAGCTATAGACCAGTTTTCTGATTTATTTAAGGTCACCCGATAATCTTTTGAAGTTGAATTAAACAAAGGTACCAGCCCAACAGTTTATACAATATTGTATTGAACATCCAGATGTCATTATTTCACTAATGAGGGTTCTTTAAGGAGATTTATTCATGTGTAAACTTGACAGATATACAAAAACTGATAAGTCAAAATTCAAAACAACGTTTAATACTTATAATTCCAGTGAAATAAAAGAAAATGTATGTGCAGATAAAAAATGTATGATAAACTTTTTAGTTGCTGTGATGTTTACCAATGAAACATGACTTAGTATTCAATATTGGAATAAATGTAACGATATTGATGCGTAGGCCTATATTACACAATCTAGATATAATAAGATTAATATCAAGAATTTGTAAAGGAATTTAAAGATTTTATAAATCGACAAAAAACTTCTTTTGTATAAATAATGTCTCCTTCAAGATGAATCAAAGCTTTTGGTAAATGTACATCGAATTTCTTCATCTTTAAAAACAAGGTTTACAATGAAGCTTACTGGATACACGATTCAACAAGCAAAATTTTTCACTGTTGTTTTGACCAAAAATGCATGCTCCAATAATAGACCTAATTTTAGAACTTTGTCATCATTTAGATTTTGACTCACGATTGATCATCAAAGATTGCCCCCCCTTATTTAAATGTAAAGCCTGATTGCTGTTCCCTCCTTTTTGGGTTGGATAAAGGTTACTGTTACTTTGTCCCCATTGTTGGTTTAAACTAGCTCTTGGAAAATCCGTCAATAAGTCTCTCAGGGTTTTCAGACCAATTTTTGCAAAGTGTCTAAGCTGGCCACAGTAAAAAACATAATCCACTTTGTATGAGACCCATATTTTGGTTATTTTGGTTATCATGGGTTGGGATATGACTGATTTGTTCTTGGTGTGGCAAAAATGTTGTGCTGTAACTCTTGCTTTTTATCTTCAAACATCTTATTCAGCACGAACTGTAGATCATCTTCTTTAATATCCAGACTTTTGTTTTAATCTTTATTCTGGCTTTTAAGAGACATTTTCTCACTCCTACTTTGTCTTTCTTTTTGTCATTTAGCTTTCCAATACTGTCATTATTTTGACCTTCATTCAATTCTCATTTTCGTATTATTGTTTTTACCTTGGTTGCATTTTTCATGATCTCAACGTATTTTAACATTTCTCGCCCTCTGTTAGAGTTTTTTTTACCCTAATGTGAAACTACTCAACTAAACAAGCAAAACATAGTACAACCTGTCATGCAAAACTTTGTAATCCTCAGTATATACTGAATACTCTATCAACTGCTCCCGGGTATCAGTGGCCGAATGGCCTTGTAGTTCAACTACTGTATCAATAGCCCGACAACACTTAGGTTTTCAGTTCGATTCCCGCACGTAGCAGGTGTATTCGACTCCAATCTTAATTGACTAGTATCCGATCGTCAGTTTTCCTACCGTTTTAAATTATTGAAAGCAATTGCTGTACTACTTGCATTCTTAGTTACTGATATCTTAGACATAAAATTTCTTTGACTAAATTCTGAGTCCCAGGGAAAAATTTAAAAATGTTTTATATTTCCGACTTTTTTCTACTTTTTCTATATTTTAGTTTGACGTCTTGTCTTTAATGAATCTTATAAATGCAAATACTTATAAGTTCATCTTTTAGAATATATGAACATCTGAAAATATTTCCTAACCTCTAAATTTGCAAGTTCACAATATCTGCTACAGTGACAGAAAGTAAGTTCTATTGATAAGTCTTTGGTTAGGCAACATGATATCACGGTAGGCCGATCACGACTAACGCTTTTTTCACAAAACTGGTATTGATACCGAATAAAAGACTCATCAGACTTCAAATTGACGTCAAAAGGGAATTAAAAAGACTCTAATTAGACGTAATGACGCTGTTGACGACGGATCGCCACTCAAACAAACATGGCGGAGATGACACGAAGAAACTTGACAACGTTACCTTAACCACTGAATATAATTTTACATATGGATTTAATCAACATACTGCAATCATCAAGAACAATATAAAAGAAGGATAGGAATAAGTATATCATGTATTTTATTTAGACGAAATCAACGAAAAGGGACTTAGTTTCATATGGAACTTAACGTTATCGTTATCTCTTATAATGATGTATAAATTACTGATTGCTAAAAATGTAATATAAGTACTATTACGGCCAGAATTCACCTTTAAATTGTAGCCAACAAAAGACACAAATCAATAATAAAATTTAATAAGATTTACTATACACAAGTTTACAAGAAGTATTACGCAAATAGAAATATCAACTTTACTGTCTAAATATATGTCCGATCTTTTGTCTTTTCTTTATCCGGAATTCTTCTCGGGAATCCAAACAGAGTATAACGTCCAATAGGTCACAATCTAGTATGATGTTGTTCGTAAATAAAAGTGTCAATCCAATTGAGAGAACTTGTGAGAATATTAATGTCTATGTCTGAAAGTTTAACTTTAGTGTCTGTATATACATAGTTGTCAAGGAAATCTCTAGAACACTATAGAAGGGAAACTCCTACAAAACTTTTGAACGGAATCTCTTAGAACAGCGTAAGAAGTTTAAATTACGCATCTTTTATTATGATCATTCTGGAATCGTTATGTAAGTCCAATAGAAAGTTCTTATCATTCCATCAGTCTCCATGATTGTTCCAGTGAATTCTAAACTGCACAGGTACAATATCATTTTGTAAACAACTACAAATATCATGCAAACATATTATAAGGCCACACAAAACAAATTAGGCCAACTAAATAAATATGATAGTTACAATATAATAACAGTACCGAATGTTTAAATCTGACAACTTTAAAAAATCTTAATTTGACTAGTAATTGATCAAATTGCGCAGAGGTCGAACTACTATTAAAATTATGAAAAATGGAAGGAGGCATGACTGCTAAACAAAAAAGAACGAATCCATTACATTATCTTATGTTGTGTTATGACGTCTTTGACTGGCTTTTGTAATTTTTCAGTATCTTTGTTAAGCTCGATATGAATTCGGGATTTCAACTCATGTAGTTCCCAATTAGGTCTAGGTCTTCGCCTTCGTCGTGGTTCTTGAGGTGGTTGAACAGTCCATGTACTGGATGGTTGATCGATAACAGTGCTACCAAAAGCAGCTTCTATAGCACTTGTGTTGTCATATATTGAATTCCATTTTTAATACCTTTCATGCTGGTATGTTCATTTTGTGACATTGGGCGTATCTTTTGAGCCAATTTTTCTATGGGACAGGCACACACAGAAAGATCAGTGAGGTTTAACATGTTTGTGAGCACTCATCCCTCCCTAACCTGGGAGAGTGGTGTAACAACAAAACAAACTGTTAAAATTAGGTGGAAAGGAATCGACTTATCATATCAGTACTAAGCAAAAGCTACTTGTATGGATTTGATATTTCGAAAAGGTAGAACTGGATCTTCCTTTACTGTATTGGAAACCTAAACTCCATAAATGTCCTTACATACAACGTTATATTGCTCGGTCTTCCAAATGGCATGAAACTTCTTTCTAGATTATTAACATAAATTTTATCAACAATCAAAGCCGGGCTTCAGTTATTGTGAAACTTCCTATTCTAAAGGTGGCGTGAATCAGATGTGGATACTAAAAACTTTCAAAGATCTTTTAGAGTTCATACACTCTAAGACTCATTCATAGAGGGTTGCTGCTCACATGGAAGCTATTAAACTAAGAGTTCCAAGTGGTAAATTTGAAATCATCCCATTGTAAATTCTACGGACGCCATAACGAGTTGGTTGACCGTTATGGAATGTTTGTGTCACAGATGACGACGGATATGTCCCAATTGTCGTAACCGCAATCCCGTCCCTTTTTCCCGAGTGTGACGAACCGAATTATACTTATCACCAGGTTTTTACTTACATGAGCAACCAGACGGATGCCACATGTGGAGCAGTATCTGCTTACTCATTCGGAGCACCTGAGATCACCTCCCAGTTTTTTGTGTGGTTCGTGTTGCTCAGTCTTTAGTTTTCTATGTTGTGTTTTGTGTACTGTTGTTTTTTTTTTTGTCTTTTTCTTTTTAGCCATAGCTTTGTCAGTTTATTTTCAACTTATGAGTTTGAATATCCCTTTGGTATCTTTCCCATTTCTTCTACTTCAAAGCCTAATTACGACTTATAAACTAACGATGCGCTTCCAGACCAAAATGACAATCACATGAATTACAAATGTAGTATATCATCAACTGATTTTAGTGTAAAGATGACGTCATTTGAGTGTAAAAAAAGCATGAACGTGTTCAAAGATAAACATACACGTATTGACATGTTGTAGGATTTTTGTTTGAAATATCATTTGTCCGAAATGTCAAATTTATCGCAAATAGACCAATTTTATATACATTTTATGACACAAAAAGGAGATACCGGACGGAAAAATTTATTCATATACTAGTATACAGGTTTTCGTTTCATTTATTTACTCCCGTTTTACAGATTTGGTTTTGTAAATGCCAATGCATCGTTATAAATAAGACTTATGTTTATTTTGATCACGATGATAAAGAGTGATTA